AGCTCAGCGACCTCATGTTCTCACTATATCCTGCTGCCGCTTCTCAACTTTATTACAGTTATCTTAAGAATCGTTACATCCGGTTGTAGTGTATTTTTGCACCGGAACTCATTGAGGAAAAATGGCAGTGCGTGCAACAAATATGTTTCATTTGTAATTCCGCCACCGTTTACCGCCACTTGATCACCACTATTCTGACTGGATTTGTTATTAATTAATATGTACAGGGCCCAGCGCCCTGCTGGCATCGCCGAAGAGCCTCAAGGCGACGGCACTGACAGGGTCGTGAACAGGTATAAATTTATTAATTTAGAAATTCATTTTCGAAAATCGAAGGCTGTATTCTGACGAAACGTTTTCTTTCTCATGATGTACCGCATGAGTCATTCCATATTACTGGAGACGGAGAAGGTGTGAGCTTCATTTGGAAGTCCCGGCGGCTGCGCTTTTGATAGGATGCTACGGTCTCGGAACAATTGTGCACATATGTAGTAGCGAAACGAATAATTCAACACTCATCAATTCCCTTAGGCCCGATGTTAGGAGCAGTTGCTTAGAATTTATAAAATAACATTAAAGAATCAATAGACCAGTAAATCGATTAGGTGTTGGTGGCAATTTCTTTCTTCCAGGGCTACCTACATGGCTGATAGCAGATTCGTCCGGGTGGTAGAACATGCTGACTCGAACATGGATCAGCCCCTGTAAATCATTTTATGATCACATCGCATTAAATAGCCTCTACAATTGCGGACGGAACTGGGATGTGTGCAGATCCCTAAGAAGAGAGGGCAGCGTTTTTAACGTGAGCCCGGAGTCCCTTCCCGTTACGGTATTTTTTTCATACTTTTCCGTGCATCGTCTGCTGATTACCTCGGAACTTCCGAAGGGTTCTCCAATTCTCCAAGATAAGCATACAAGAAAAGTCCAAGCGCATATCGGAGAGCAAAAAGGGGCGTTCCAGCAATGACTGCGTGTTCTCGTGTTTATCTTGTCTTACCCACACTTCTCTGCCTCTCTTCCGTCCTTGTACTCGCAGCACCCCCATAGGTATTGACCCACATAACCTCTAACTGCACTCTGTTATCCCTCCTTCTGGTGTATGAGCTCCTCATGTTTCCGTGACCATACGAACGCTTGTCGCTGCAAAATCCAAGCTAAGGAAAACCAGAAATAACTAAAACCTCTGAAAAGTGAACCGAACAGAAATCAAGCAAAAAAAGGAAGAGAAAAAAGGCAGGCTTGTTCTGCGTTCGCATCGCTCAAAGCGAACGTACAGCTTATACTCAGCGGGATGTTGTACGTCTGAAGGTATGGTAGGGCTATACATAGATAATTTCTTCTGTTAGGAAGGGTTCCAGTTATAAAGTTGACCTTTCTAGCTACACATAAATCGATGGCTCGATGTTTACCACTGGACCCTCACAGCTGACCCACTGGCTGCATTCTAGGGGACCCATGTGTACACTTGGATTCGATGCTCAAAAGTCTGAGCGAATTGTATGAAGTACACCGTGTACTCTGAGCCCATAAAAACCATTGGACCACTATGGCGCGTTGCAGGGACAAGAACATCAAAGATGCCCTGACCATGGGCCCCATGATGCAGTGGCGACGAACCTTCCATATAGCGAGGCTCTGAGAACAGAGTAAAAAGGATAAGGAAGCAGGAAAAAGCTGGACGACGGGCGAGACAGTAGAAAGTCCTACACGGGCCAAACGCTACGCTTCACATATGTATTTATCAATGTGGAAAGGCTAGCATATTTCGTCCTCATACCGTGGAACAACTTGTACTGGTAACGTTCCTTTGACGACTGCAGCGCCCTTGTCACTATTCAAAAGCGTTAGCTATTTCTGAGATCAGGACATTGGTGCAAGGAGGGGATCCTACAGATCGAGTAATAGCTCGATTGGTCCTTGATGGTCATTTGGTTTCTGCAAATTGCAAACTTCACGCTAAACTCCTGTGACTTCCTTCGACACTTGTTATCAAAAGTAATAGAAGTGATATCATGGCCGATCGACTCCATGGTAAATGGCGCTTATCTTATTAGCGGCAGCTAAGTATCAGGTGATTTATAAGCAAGCGTTTATTAGCGGTAATCTTCGATATATAATCGAAGTGGCACACCTTCGTACATGATTGAGCGCGCATTGTCCCGTGCTTTCTCTGTGTTCTCCCGTAGCAGTTATACGATGTTTTCTCTTCATGCTCAACTGTTTCTCCTATGACCATAAATTGGTGGGAGTATTAAGGTGTCCGATAAGTTTTGAGAAATTTCAACCAGCTCATTTAACACTTATCAACAACAATAAGAGATAGTAGTTCATAGTTATAATAAATATTGTCCATCCTATGTCCCTTACCTTTGGGCGGGATTACCTTGCGTGGGAGCTAGAACTAAGCGAGTACTGAGAATGAGGGGGCGTACGCAACATCCAAGCAAAACTCCCACGTAAGCGACCGATTGATCTTCTATTACAGTTGACTTTGGCGCATCTTATCCAGCATCGGTGACGGTGCTCATTCCCGATTTGACCGATTGAGCAGCCAGAATGGTGAAAATTAAGAAGATGGTGTTGGGAGTCAAGCGCGCCAGTTCATTTCAGGTGATGTCGACTCATGCCAACAATGGAGAATAACACCAACCAGCATTACGGTTGATCCACAAATATCACGAGCATTTATCTTTCTTATAGAACTCAATATATGACCCTGTGTTGGGGCATTCGCTTGCAACACGTCTTCAACTGAAAGTGTGAAATTTTCTCAAAACTTTCCGGAACCAAACAGTAACACGAAGGAAGGGCAGTTTTATGGTTCAATATCCTGAAAACGGTCTACGTATTTGTAAGAACCCATCCTGTACGCTACAAGCGCTGTGATTGTTGCTGTGCTGCAAGATTCGCAGATTGTGAAGGACGATTATTGCTCTCTTATCTCAGCTAAAACGGCGACTAGGTCTTCTCATGTAATCCTTAAAAACTCTTGGAAAAACCTCATCGAGTATCTATTTCACCGTTAGGGAGGACGCGGTGTACGGACATGTGGCCCGCTTACCACGCATGCGAGCCGGGAATCAAATCTGGGACCGGGTCAGGGCACGCCATCGTTGGTGTGATCACAATGAGGTCGTATTCGACCGCGAGGGAGGGGGGGGGGGGGATTCGTAAGCTCATGGCCCATTCTGATGTCGAGAGAGAGCAGTGATACACAGGTGTTGCTCAGCGTCAATGATGAAGAACTTATCCATGTAAAAACCTCTCGAGGAGATATACACAAGACAGAAGCAACCCGCCAGCGCAGAAGTGAGAAACGGGCGATGATAGGAACTACGAAGGCCGCCCATAAGGACGTCATTAATTAATAAACGGATGAAAAAACACTTTCGGACCCTCCTGTTTGCAGGAGCACATCTGCTTGCACGGAGGAAGCCCTATCAAGAAGTTGTACCTTCCCAGCACCTCTGCGCGAAAGCCCTATGCATGGCGCAATACAGAGGTGATGCCAATCAGCGCCGAATGAACTATTTCCTGATTAGCGGAAATATGCATTCTAGAAGCATACCAAAGTCTTCGACACTGCGAAGTGATATGGCGTTCGGTGTGTGGGGTTTTCGGGTTGTTTGAAGGGGTCGTAATGGATCACAAACGGAAAGTTTTTTCCCATAGCAGCATAAGGGAATTCCGTCACTGTTGTTTTTTACAAATGGGCTCGCATAAGTTATGGCAGTTAAAAGCGTAAGAAATTGTAAGTGACCCCAATGAGCACATGGAATCACAACGGAGAATCCCTAGGAAAAAGTTTTTTTTTGAAATCGCTCAAACTCAGGTAACAATTGCCAACCTAGTGCTCCACAGTCCTGCTTTCCCCTCTCCGAAAGCTCCACTCTCAAAGAAGTTATGGGTGTGTGAGGGTACTTTCCGACTGTTTGGCTTGAAACTGGCTCCGGATCGTGAAATAGCTCGCTCCAATACCTCGGCGCGAAGCGCGCTCTAACTCTAATTGCACCTTTGAATGGCCGCGAACGATTGATATTCAAGTGTTAGCACATGAATTTTTTTCATTTTTCTTTCTTTTCACGTCTTCTTATGCTTCATTTATGACTTATTATATTTGTTTATTTACTTATGATTCGTTATAGCTCTTTTCTTCGCATTTCTCACACTTATCCTTGTTAACCGTCCCCTATTTTTTTCGTTACTTTGTGATCTTCCATTGTTTGGTGCGATCGCTTCGAAGGGTGGACTGTGCGCTACTCGTAGCCGACCTAGTGGATCTGGCAGGTACGGTAATTCTCTCTCCTGATTGGTTACGTGATGGCTAGGATGGGGTCGAAGGTCTCTGTAGGGGGCAAGGCATTTGGTCGAATAGATCATAAATTGATTTCCACCCTTTTCAGGCTCCGAAGAAGGTGATCTCACCGAAACGTCAGCCTAATAAAGTTATTTGAAAACCTCGAGTGCAGTTCAATAAGAAGAAACAGTTATCTTGACCAGTTGGAAATAATTCGATGGTGGTGTTCAGAAATAAACCGTACACTTACCTCCGACCACAGCAGCTGCAGTAGCGGCCACTCATCCAGTCAAAAGTGCACGGAAACGGGAAGTAGTTACGCATTTGTTATGCTGTCGCCGTATAACACCCTCAATAAGCAGCAGTTGGGATCGCCACTAGACCGCGTAGCGAAACACTCACTCAGCGATAAAGACAACCGCGGGTGATAGGGCGCAGGCAAGTAGAGCGTTCGGCTATGGCTACGCGTGCTGCTGGCCGCAGGTCAGCGCGCTCGGAGTATAGAGTCAGGCATCGGGGTATCGCTACCCTTCAGCCTCGTTCTGTGCAGTTTTGAGCGGAGAAAGTGGTATGCTACTGTATCGCCGACCCATTCACCTCAGCCATAGCAATGGATCAGGATCCAAAGAGGTGATGAGCGTGTACTTCGTTTTCAATTAATTGAACTGTTAAGTCAGAGACGTTGCTCATAAATCTCAAAATGCTGGAATGTCGTCTAAATGTGGAGCCATGGATGTATATAACTACTATGCGAGTACTGTCTGCGTTCACGCTCTCCGTGGACTTATTCGGCATCTTCTGTATCGTTGCCAAAACACCACCAGTCATGAAGCAGTACTCACAACTACTGCTTGTATATCAGATTTGTGCTACAGTGACCGATACATTTCTAAACATGATATCCATACCAGTTTTACTCGTTCCATTTCCTATTTTCTACTATGCTGGACTACTTTTACCACGAGTAACTATGAACTATTCTTATTGGCACATGGTGTGGGCGTGCTTGGTAGTGACGACAATGTGCTCAGTCGTGCAGCTATTTGTATTTCGTTATCTTAGTATCCGCCCAATGGATAATATGTCACGAGTGTTGGGGAAATGTCTCTATGCTACATGTTTTGTTCTTCTTATTGTATTCAACAGCGCTGTGGTAGCAGGTGTATTTACAATGCCCAATCGTATCGAGGAGCTCAAGCCCATATTTGCGCAGGTAACTCTGTTACGCACGCGTTATCCAAATATTACTTTCCATGTCCATCTTTTCTCGAAGACAGACTCGACTGGGAATCTATAGATATCGATCTAACGTCTGTCAGCGCCTACCAGCGTGCACCAACGTCTTCCAGAGTTCGCCAGCGTCTACCACCCTGCGTCTCCCAGTTTTCGCCAGCATCTACCAAAGTGCAGCTGCGTCTCGAGAGACTGGGAAGTATAGGTATCGATCTAGCGTCTGCCAGCTTGCACCAATGTCCGGGAGAGGAGAGTATGGCGCGATAGGAGAGTAGCAGAGAGCTGATACCCTTTTATCGCGTCATACTCTCTACCAATAGTCTGCACCCTGCTATCTCCCCATACTCTACCAGCTGCCTGCTACCCTCATATCCTACTCTCCTCCCCGGACGCTGGTAGAGTCTGGTGCACGCTGGCAGGAGGAATATCGATACCTATTCTTCCCACGCCATTGGGACTCTGGTGCCTCTGGTAGACGCTGGTATACCCTGGATCGACTTCTATTCTTTCCTAGTCGCTGACACTGCTCAAAGTACGAAAGCAGCTTTATGTACGCACCAGCCGAACAGTACTCTCCATGTTCTTTTTTTACTGAAACGCTGATGTAAAAGCTTCCGAGATGAGCAGAAGGCTCAAGAGAGTAAGGAATATATCAGCCCTGCGTTACAAAGGTGTAACGGCAGTTCTGCGAACGGATGTTCCGACTTAGGGTAATGATTTCAAAAAGACACTTTTTGCACCACAAGATACGTGGAATGCCTCCGCTCATTCAATGGCCAAGTCCGCATAGGACAACTGAACACGCGTGAAGGTCAAAAAGCGTTAGAAAGGTGTGGCTTGCAACCTCACCACCATTTCTATCTCCACGGCAACACTTAACGCTAATTACTGCGCGTTTTGCCTGCAGCACTGTAGACGATTTCTTGACGGGACCTTTGCTATATAATGATTCGCTCTGCCTTCGCTGGATATCTTCTACGAAAATGAGCAGTCAATAGCAGTCCAGTTCGCAAGCCTGTCTGTGATTCAATTACCAAACCTAACATAATCGTTGTCTTCAGAACGCTAGGCCTTATTAAATGAACGTCTCACCTAACGACCTCATAAGGACGGAACAAAAGAAACACTTGCAAATAAACTGCTGAGTCCAGAAAGGAGAAGCTGAAGGATTCAGAGGAGTTCTGAACCAGACTTTATAGTGCGCTACAAAAACGCGAAGGACTCACAGGTCATTTAGGATCCGCTGCTACAGTTTCTACGGCTTAGACCGGCGATTTCTTTCTGAGTCTTCTGAAACAACTATGGAATCAACCTGGGTCCTTTGACTGAAACCTTCCCTATCAGAGAAGAAGAGAATCTAAGAATCCTCCCTTTGGGCGTACCCTATTATTATGCAAATCACCTACGACATCCCACTCATTCCTGTATTCCTCCAGCGCATTCAGAACGAATTGATTTCTGCTGATATTCAGTCAAAGCTAAAATAAGTAGTGCTCAACAATACATTCACCACAACTTGGAACAGCCCTCACCAGAGCTGCCTTCATACTTCAAAACACAATGTAAGCATTATTACAGGAATTCTCGTGCATCAGAGACTCGATTGATATTCCTGGGGCTCAGTACGTGTCGCTCAAAGATTATCGACGACTTACGTCTGTTAATGTGGTAGGAGCGTCCACAGTGGCCGTTGCGATTTCTATATTAATCTACTTAACATTCCGTTGTATTCGTCGTACGAATGTCTCGCACAAAACTATTGAAATGCAAAGAAAATATCAGATCTCACTCATTTTACAGGTGAATTTGTTGGTATTGTGCTAACGGGGCTTTATACAAGCGCAGATGCACCTGGATAGAGTGGTGTGTTTATTGGTGTCTTACTAATAGATAGTATGACGGATAAGCAGATCGGATGAAGTATGCTATGCTGAACAGCTTATGGAAATATTGCGGATTACAAGGTTTTTACCCCAATTGCACGGGGTGCCATCGGGGTCATCGTTGATTGGGGAATCCCCAAAGGGGAAGGGGATTCGTATTTGGCCGCCAGGAGAGGGGGGGGGTCGTAATGAGTGCGGTAGCCAGTAACGAGCAGCGCAAAGGTGTCAGTGTGCTGAGTCCTGTACAGCGAAACTTGCTTTGTAGAGAACTCGGATGTAAAAAAAATAGTACAAAACTTTCATTCATCAAACTAATCCGAAATAACTGGAAATATTAATAAGTCGACATCATCTCGTAAGTGACTAAACAGTACAACTCATACTCTGGTTCGCTGCGGATGATGGGGCGTGTCCGCGATCGCGCTTGGCGCTGAGCCAACCTGTTTTTTTCGACAAACGACAGGACTACCATATCGTTCGTATCAGACGTTTTCCAGCAGTTGGTCTCCTTTATCGGAATCAGCAATTGGCGGAGCACGAATCTGGCGGCGTCGACAGGGACACGCTCCATCATACGCAACGGAAAACACTGTAAACAAGTGCACAGGTTCGCCATGGACCTCCCTGAATCCTATAGACACATTTGCTCGCGTGGACAGACATTACGCACAAATTGCACCATCCCATCACCTCTGCGCGGACCTCAGTGCGCGGCGCATCCAAAGTTAGCATGATTGGCGCTAAACAAACCACATCCTGCTCCTGCTCCACCACAGGATACGTTCTACATGTATTTCTGGCTATTCGAACACGCTCGCTTGAAACCGTACACAGAAAACGGACTTTCGAACAGTTCGGAGTGTTCCCCAAAAAATCCCCAACGCAATTATCTCATGAATCCCGGAACTTCAGAAACAGTTTAAGTAGTTTTTGGAAAGAGAAAATCTTCTAGAATTCGACACTGGTTTCAGATTTCCAAACTATTGAGGTTCAAGGGAAATATCTTGGTTCAAACCTGTACAGTTTGCACTGCAAACTATCCAAAAAGTGCGCTCCCCAAAAAATCCCAACGCTGAATTTCTCTATGAATTTGGCGACCTTCATAAACATTTCAGTACTTTTAGGAAGCTCAAACCTTCCTCTACCCGACTACATTCTCCGCTTTTGAGGAACTTATGGCCCTTCAAAGACACCCTGCTTTCCTGAAAACTCGCGCTCCAATCCAACCACCTTGCACGGCTGGTCCTGCCCAGAATCCCTTCCAATCGATTCCTCACCATTTTCCAGCTGATCGGCTGGTATAGCTCCATTTCTTTTCTTTTTTTCTGTTATGCTGTCTGTTTTTCTGTTATGTTATGCTATTTCTGCTTTCGGTTGCGTTATGTTATGCTACATCATTTAGGCCGCGTTCATAGCTTGCGACGGTGAAGAAATGCAGAAATGCGGAAAATGCAGAAATGGCGAATTGCTGAAAAATTGGAAATTGTAATGCTTTTCGTCATTTCTGCATTTTCCGCACTTTTTTCCGCATTTCTGCATTTCTTCAAATTGATGTGTATATTACGCCTTCCATCATTTCCTCGGATTCCGCATTGCTTCATGGCCTTAGGCTTTGTAGGGTGGGGGGGGGGGGGGATCAGCACATTCGCTACTTCACATCCTGGTATTCATTGCGTCACAAAAGTTGACAGGTATTCCTCCAAACTTTGAGTGGAATCACTTTATGCCTTTACAACCTAGAGCCGCCATATAGCTCTAGTGCCTAGCTCGAGCTCGAAAAGAAAAACAAATAGTGAAGAAAAAAAGGGGGGGGGTCGTACGTGCTTGACCGAAATCCCCAACTATTGCGTTGCCCTGATCGGTTAATCATATGTTATACATGAACGGGTAAGCGCCAAAATTCGATACCTAGTTTGGTGACAATGATCTCGATATTCAAGTGGAAAGTTTACGACATAGCGTCCCAAACTGGTTGTCTTGTTCAAGGAATTAACTGTTTTTCGGTGTCAAGAGATTACGCTACATCCTTCACCTGTCAACCTTAGCAGTTCCGAAAGCGCTCTTGGAACCAAACGAAAGAGTTCAGTAGTCACACGGCGCCACAGTGATTCGTTGTCACATGCGGATACTCACTAGCCGATGAGACCGACAATGGCATCACCTCTTACGTGCTGTGTACATCCTGGAGGTAGAGAGGATGTGGCTGCTCTCGTCATTCAAAATTGTCGACTACTGTGATCCTGGTGGGCATTTCCGTTTCGAGAGATTTAGTAATGTCGTGCAGCACAAGACAAGATAACAATAGTCCCGAATGATAGTGTTACCTGTGCTCCCATTGGTCATCGAGTTCCTCGAGCGGGACCAGTATCGTTTCCATTCGTTCCTGCAACTGCTAGAGTTGCCATATGGGTTCTCTCTGCCAGAGGGACAAGATGAATTTATACCTTTCATTCAGAATTTTCGCGTAAATGTCTGATCACGCCCAGAGGTACGCATGACATGCCGTGGATCCCAATTTGTAGTAGCTCTGGTCATCTTCAAAACGCATGGGGTGTCCTGCCCATTTCTTCGAAACCTTGGCAAATGCTACTGCGCCTCCAATCTTCGATCGTCTGCGGAGTGCGGAGCTCCGTTCCCTCTCTCACTTGCGTGTAGCGGGAAACTCCGAGCATCGCCCTTTCGATGGCGCGTTGAATAACGCCGCCGCATGCTCATCCTGCTTTCGTAGAGTCCAAGCCTCTGAAGCGTGGACACGGAGTCTTGTGTTCTTCGTATTCTTTGCTACTCCCTCGACGTTCTAAGACTAACCAACCGCTTCCTTCTGCTCAGCTCTCACGCTGAGTCGTTCGCCATAATGATTTCCGACTCCGGTACCCATAGCTGGAGCATTCGGGGATGTTCGTAACGTCGAGCGAGAAGGGCGTTAGGATACACCTATAATAGTATTCCTCGAGCCATTATACGTAATAAAATGCTTAATCTGGATTCCCTCTCAAAACGAAGAGTAAGGAACGATTTATTCACAGTTTTCAAAATCGTACAGGGGCCAATGCAGTTCGCGGCGGACAAGCTTTTTTCCTTTTCTGTTTCATCTACTAGAGGTCAGCTTAGTAAGATTCGCCTCAGAAAGGCAAGGTCTTCGGTCCGTAGCCACTTCTTCACTCAACGAGCTGGTTCAGAATACCTCAAGCTCAGCAAGAATATTCGTTTTCCTTTAAAACTCTCTGGCTTCAAACAGGAAGTCTCGCGTCATCTCAAAAAGCGCAGCTAGTTATTTTTCGCTCTCTCCTCTGACCGCTTTTACTACTCCCCTTGTACTTTCTCTGTTCCATTTTTAGCTCACTGACGTTTTATCCGTTTTGCAATGCCTTCCTTCGCTTTATTTCGATGCATGGCACTTTCTTATTTTTACACATTTTTATTTTTACTCGTTTTCGGTAGTTTTGTTCGACTATCTGATTCGTCATGTTGGTTTATGTTCTGTGCTTAATTTAACATGTTCCTAGAGAGCATGTAAATGAATCAAAGCGATGTCGTCAGCAAAGCGGAGATGGTATAGTTGCCGACCGTCGATCTTCACTCCCATGTCTTCCCATTCCAGTTGACGCATGACGTTCTCGAGAGAGGCGCTGAAGAGCTTGGGCGAGATGGTGTCGCCCTGTCGAACCCCTTGCGAGGTCTTGGTCGTGAAGCTGCTGTAGAGCTCACGAAGAATCCTGATGTACTGAGTAGGAATACCCTGGTTGCCCAGGGCTTCGATAACCGCTTCTGTCTCAACGGAGTCGAAGGCTTTCTTCAAGTCGATGAACGTGAGACATAACGGCATCTTGTACTCGTGATACTTCAAAGAGCTTTGTTACCTTGTGAATGTGACTTTCTTGAAAACCTGCCTGCTGGCATGGCTGTCTTCGTTTGGCCTTTTGCCAATCCCATTTAGCATGACGAGTAGAAAAGTTTGTAGACTACAGACAGCAGGCAGATTGGGCGATAATTGCCAATGTCGTACAGGTCTCCCTTCTTGTACAACACAGTCTTGCTGGTTTTCCACGAGGTGGGTACCTTGCATTCCGACAGGTAGCGCGTGAAGAGTCGAGCCAGAGTTTTGACAAGAACTAGGCGGAAGATTCATTCGAGTGTTCAGTTCTGATTCCGTATGATTTTTCACCGACGAGATGGCGTGTCGGACTTCGAAAGGGAGAACGCTATGGTGGTAGGTGGACGTGGCTGTCAAAGAGATCCGAGTAGAAGTCGTGGATGACCTTCTCCATTGCCCTTCTGGATGCGGTGATTGTTCCATCCGGACGTCGGAGGGCGGTCATCTTGGTCTTACAGGTTGGCGAAGTCGCGCCGGGCGTTGCGGAAACTCTTTCCAGCGTCTCTCCATTAGTATTGCTGCTCTCCTCTACTTGAGGTCTTCCTTTATCGCTTCTCTGCATAGCTTGGCAAGCTCGGACGTCAGCTGGTAATTGCCTGCGGCTCGTGCGGCTCCACGCGAATCAGTCAAGGGTTTGTATATATAGACGCTTTTTGGTAATCTTGGAAATCTCTAGCTTTTTGGTAATATTGGAACTCTCTGCTTCTTGGTGATGACGTGAAGACGTTTGACAAGTTGTTCGTATTTCATCGATTTTGTCGATAACGGAATCCTCCCAGAGCCCAGCGAGAGAAGTGAAGTGATCCCAGTTGATGACGGTCTTGGGGCTTCGCTTCTTGAACTTTGCGGCTCTCTCTCCTCGCATCGGAAAGCGGAACTGCGGAGACGATGGTCGGATCCCGTGTAGAACTTAGGAACAACAGCGACATCGGTCAGGCAAAACCTTCGATTGAAGATGATGTGTCGATCTCTTTATAGAAATTGTCCACGAGACCCTTGTCCAGTGTAGAAAGTGGGGCTTCTGGACTTGTGAGTTACCATGGATGGTGTTGGGTCAACATGAGAAC